CATATTTTCGGGATGGAGTTCAATCTCAGTGGCTTCCCTAATGAAGCGATCCATATGGCGGGTCTTGGTGGCAAGGATGGAGGTATTCTGAAGCTGAATACGGTGTCCCAGATTGATGCTGTGTTCAGCTATGGCCGACTGGTCCGGATGTTCGAGACGGATGTGCCGCTGATGCTCCTTCAATCTCGTGTCCACGGAGGGGCCTGTCTGCCCAATATAGACCTTGCCGCACTAGCATGGGATACTGTATACACCCGGTGTCCTTAGGCCCAGGCTATCTTTGACTGGCCAGAGGAAACTGGATAATTTGTTTGGAGGCAGACCCACTGCTTTGATGTTATGCCGGGATAGCACTCGGGACCATATTCAACCGTATCAGCAGAGTGCTGGCTGAAGAAGATTTATAAAATGCAGTAAGCTTTAGAGTTAGACAAAATCGGTCTATCAGAATTTGTGTAACCTGCATTAGATTTGCAAGATTTGTTACACATATATTCACGTTAACATTATAATGACATGAGATTCCACTCTTGTGGGATGTGATGCCAGGTATTTGGTAGCTGTTTACCAATGCTTTGGAGGAACATGCTGCCTTATGTGCAGGGTGAAATATTCTTCTGAAACTTCTGTACCTATCTACTGAAGAACATGGCGGCATCACATACCAAATGACTGTATTTGTTATTTTTACTGCCATAAGGATCTCAAATTTTACATTGTAGTGAAATGTCTTTTATATTTAAATTTAAATTCAATAGAATTTAATTTTAGGAAACAGTGGCTCTGCGTTCGTTTCTCTTCTTGTATCAAGAACAGGGTGTTCTGAATTCAAGGATCTGTTACCTTGTTCTGCCCTGATGTCACTGCAGGAGAGCAGGATTGGCGACAATAAGAGTTGTGTCAAAATGTATGCCAAAGGTGAGTCCAGATTGTGATTCAGGACAATATTCTGAACTGATGTAATTAAATAATATATGTCATGTCTTGGTATATGCAATATGAATTAAAATAATTTTCTTTATGCAGATGACTTCCTTGAAGAAACTAAAAGTAAAAAATGGGATCAATTACGCGTGGTTGTGACACAACCATTTAATCAGCAAATGCAGTTTGGATTGTGTTTTATACGTGTATTCAGCTTCTTGGATGAGGAAACTACTAGTACAAAAATTGATCCTGATTCATTTTCAAAGTGGGAAAAAATGAGAAGTCAAATTAATACCCCTTTGAGGTAAGCATGAAACATTTAGAATGTTATCCCTATGCTTAATTAAGGATAGTGTCATGAAGATATGCAGGGAAATAGGGATAAAGCATCATGATGTGAGTTGTGCCTTGACTTTTTTGTGTTTTGGGAAACAACCTGTAATGGCACTGGGTATGAGGCTTGGTGGGGCCCAGAGCTGGTCTGGACATGCTGAAGAAACAGTCTGCTTCCAGAAATCAAACCCTGTAGCCAGGAAACTGGATTACCTCTTTCCTTCCTTCCTTCCTTCCTTCCTTCACCCATGTTATTTTTCCTTTTATTTTATTTGTACAACCTATCATCATTCTCTTCCCCATGTCATAGCATCAGTAGAAGATGTAATGATCATGGAAGCCTCCTAGCCACTTCGTGAAGGAAAGGAAGAAGTTCATCTCTGAGGACAGACTAGTTATTTCCTCCTAAATGACATGTCTCTGAACACAAGAAGGCTTTTTCCAAACTTTCCATTTATGGAAGACCTAAGAAGTACCATTAACTTCCCATTCTCAAGTTCAAATCTCCTATTTTTAATTGTTTCATTTTTGGTCCGTTACACTATCAATCACAAAGTCAATAGAAAGTCCGTTTAGTGTGACAATTTGTAGGTCACTTCTTTATCACTTCTGCCTTACATGTTTCGTGTTGTGTACACCTACAAATTGTTACACTCGACAGACTTTCTATTGACTTTTTCAAATCTCCCACCTGTGAGGAAAACTTAAAGTGGACCTGAAGAGGAGCAGTGGTTTCCATTCTTCACAGAGTTACATTTTCCTTGTTAGAACAACATTGAATCCCTGAAGAAGCCTGTTCTCTCTCATTACTGCATTTCCCAGCTTGACAGTATATCAGTATGCTTCTTATAAGGTTCAATTTCTTTTTGCCCATTTATTCCCATTTAGTAGGAAAGGGTTATTTTCTTTACTCCTCTTTTGGAATCATGACTACCATCCTTGTAACTTTCCAGTATAATCATAGATTTGCTGTTTTACCCACTTTTAACTCTGAAGACAGCATGAATTCTGTCATGACTTCCCCGCTTATTATCCTCGGCCTACCTACTTTAATTGAAAAGTGAGACAGCATATTCCTCCAAAACACTGGTATCCACCCATAAAACTATGTGTTGTCACAACACATGACCATATTCTTAATAATCATTGATATGAATATCTCAAAACTTATATGACAGAAGATATTTTATGTTTTCCTGTTTCGTAGTAATGATGTGTTGTGTTTTCCCTAAGATGGAAGGAACTGGCTGTTGTTCATATGTAGGTGTTTCAATTAGCTGTTTGTTAATAAAAATGAAAAAAAAAAATCTCACATGAGATATTTTGTTTCTTTGGTCTGACTACTAGTTTTTTTTTGTGGTGGCTTCTAGGTTTACAGGGAATCTTTGCAGGCCTCAGTTACCTTTTCTAATAATATGTCCTTATTCTTGCAGTCCAGTGAGCTCAAAGTTGGCTGGTCAACGCCTAAGTGGTTCATCTCTGTCTCGTACTGATAAGATCCTCCTTCAGACTGGTCAGCAGTGTAGTAAACTACAGGAAAAAGATGAAATAACTTCCCATAAAGGAAAGGAGGAAGTTTTGGATAAGGAGTTTTTTGAAACATCCATACTTAGCTTTATGGATTCTCTTAATCTGCAGGATAAAAACTTGGACAACATTCAGTTGATTGAAGTAAGAGAGAAAATGGAACAGGTTCAAAATCGAGAGTTCTCACTTCAGGAAAGACGTATTTTTGTTACTGTTGTTAAGAAATATGTAATGTCATTGAAATACTCAAAATCCAACAACATGAAGTCACCTAAGTTTAGCCAAAACATTAAGACAGATATCTGTTCCAAACAGGAGTTAGGGAAACCAAAAGAACTTACTGGTATTGCAGAGTTGCCACACCACATCTATAGTGATAAGAAAGAGCAGATTTCAGTGAAAATGAAAAGTAGAAATGATGGAACAGATTGGCTAAATACTGAAGGAGATTATCCTACAGAAGCCAGAGTGTCAAAAATTAGCAGTCCTATTTCTGAAAGTCCTTCAGGGAGAAGAAATTATATTAGTTTGGAAGATTCTGATTACACACATGAAAGTACAGCTTATACTAGGGAAGTCCACAGTAAATTAGAAGGTGGCGACAAATATTTAAATGATGATTCAAGAGAAAAATCAGATTGTGTTATGCTGCAGAATACAAAGCAAAAGAGAATGTTTAAGAGGAGATCGTTAGAGACTGATGGCACTAATAAAAGACTCCATGCAGCGAACAGTGATAACCTGAATATTACTGACATCTGTGAAGTTACAGACTTCCAAGAGAATTGTGAACAGGCCACAGGAGAAAATTTAATTCAGTGTCCTGTATGTAAGGGTGAGTTCACATTACAAGTTTTCATAACTTATAGAATTCATTCATTCATTCATGGAGCTGAGCCCTTCTTGAGAAGCCTCCAATTATGCACCTTCTCAAGAACTTCCCAGCATTTTATGAAACCCGAAGGTTCATTACCGTTTTCACAAGAGCCCTCCACTTGTCCCAGTTGTGAGCCAGATCAGTCCAATCCATACCATCCCATTCTATCTCTCTAAAATTCATTTTAATATTGTTCACCCACTTCCGGTTTAATTGTCCTACTGGTCTCTTTCCATCTGGCTTTCCCACCAATATCCCCCATGCATTCATCTTCTATATTTGTTCTACATGCCCTGCCCATCTCATCCTCCTTGACTCTATCATTCAAATTATACTTGGAGAAGAATACAAGTGATGAAACTCTTCATTATGCAGTTTTCTCCAACCTCCTGTCACTTTATCTCTCTTCAGTCCAAATATTCTCCTATTCTTTTTAATTTTCTACAAGGCCAGGCTGTGAAGTACTTCGTGCCAGAGAATAGAGGGACTGAAGATGTGATGCCCTATAGTTGGTAGAATCTTTCCAACATGCTGGAGGAAGCTGCTGGTTCAAGGGCTTTACCCTGATGATGAGGGAAACAGTTTTTATAAAACATTGGTAACATTCTACCAGACTGCATGATGGTGTCACATCCCAGAAGAGTGATCTCCATAGTTTACCATGAGACCCAGATGTCACTTAAAGCAGCAGAGTTCCATGACTTGTAATACAAAGACCCTTCACAAAATATCTCCAGTACAGAATTTATAACATGGTTTGGCTGATGTTTGAATCATTTCACCTGAATCACATTTGTAGCATGTTACATTGTTTAAATTTTTGTGAGTGTACTTGTTTTAATTGGGGGTATGTGGTAGTGTAGTTGTTTGAGTCATTGTGCTACAAGCCGGAAGGTCATGGGTTAGATTCCCGATGAGGTCATTGGATTTTTCAGTTGACCTAATTCTTCCAGCCACACAATAGCCCTGGGGCCAACTCAGCCCCTAACAAGAATGAGTATCAGGAATCTTCCTGGGGGTAAAGGGCGGCTGCCAAGTAAGGCTGACAACCTCACTGCCATCTGTGAGCCGATTGTCTAGAAAATGTGTGAGCCTTAACATGTCACAACTCAATGGGCCTCCATGGGCTGTTACAGGGATAACTTTACCTTTACCTTTTACCTTTACTTGTTTTAATTGATGCATTCATTTCCATGTAATATGTAGGTAAGTCAATAAGTAAGTTACAAATGGATATAGAACTTAAAGAAATAAAGAGTACTGATTTGAAAAATGCTTTTATTTCTCAACATAACTCCCTTGTACATTGAGGCGCTTGTCCCATCGTTTCACAAGCCCATGAAAACCAGCAGCATAAAATTATCTGGGCTGCTGTCGGAACCAGGCAGTGACTTCGCTTACTACAGCTTCATCATCGGGAAAACATTCAACCGAAAGATGATGTTTAAGAGGGCCAAACAAATGGAAGTTGCTTGGAGCAAGGTCGGGGCTATACGAAGGATGCTCGAGGACTTCCCACTTGAAATCTCGCAGCGTCTCATTTGTCTTGTTGGCAGTATAGGGACGCACTTTGTCATGCAAGCATGCAAGAGCAACACACCTGGTTCCGACAGCAGCCCAAAGAATTTTATGCTGCTGGTTTTCAGGGGCTTGTGAAACGATGGAACAAGTGCCTCAATGTACAGGTAGATTATTTTCAGAAATAGAAACATTTTTCAAATCAGTACTCTTATTTAAGTTATACGTCCTTTTGTAACTTACTTATTGACTTACCCTCGTATTTGCAATCTTCATGGCAGCTGAATGCAGTGAAATTTTAGTTGCAATGCATTTCCAGCATTTCAGAGACTATCAGTATGTCTGTCATCAGATACTGATGTTATGGAATTGGTCACTGTACACGAAAAAAAAAAAAAAACTCCGTGATTTTAGTCCGCAAGTGAACTATGCCGATTGAGCTGCCGCTTGTTGGTGAAATTAGTGCCAACTTTTGTGGATAGAGGTCGCGTGGTTAGCGCAATGGATCCCATGGCTGTTATTTTGGTTTACTAGACCGGAGCCACTATTTCCTTGAAATAGCTCCTCAATTATCATCACGAGGCTGAGTGGACCCCATTCCAGACCCACTACTTGTCAGAAAAAATCTGGTAGCACCAGGAATCGAACCCAGACCTCTGGATCTGTAGCCAGGAATTCTGACCGCTAGACCACAGAGGCAGTGGTCACTATATACACTAGCCACAAATATGTGTATCTGTACATATTCATGTGCATAAGCATGTACACTCAAAACAGCTGTTCACCTGAGATGACTTCATTATATTCTTTGCCATGTTAAGTGGATCCCTTAGGACCATGACGTGGTTCATTTCTAAGTTGCAAACAGAAGGAAACTACATATACATTGAATAAGCATTTCTAGATAGTCAGCAGGGGTTGATATTGCAGCTTGGGTTCTGGGTGCTGGGCTGACAACCCTCTCCTGTAAATGTACTCATAATACGTTACAAAATGTTACATCGTGAAGGTTCCAAGAGATGTACTGAAGCACAGTGTAGACTTTGATGCCAGATAGTTGTCCTCTGTAGGAGGAGTAATGGTTAAATTTAACCTTGCTACAGCTGAGGCATTTAGTTGCTGGCCTGTCACATCAGTGAGGCCAGGGTTCAATCCCAGTTCAATTCATGTGGGATTTGTGGTGAACAGGGTGGTACCAGGACAGGTTTTTCTCCAAGTGCTTCAGTTTTTCCATAATAATTGTCTTTCCACTAATGCTTCATTCTGTCATCTGTCCAAAGCTGGTACAATAGGTCCATTTGCAGCTGCAGTACTAAGGGATGCTGTCTTACTTCACCCCATAAATTAAAATAAATTGTTAATTGGGAATAATTTCTTAAGACAGACATGAAATTAAAAAAAAATGTTTCTGAAGGTGACCCTAAGAACAAAGATGATTTTGTTTTTCTTAACTGCCCAGAATTAATGAAGTTGTAAGTGTGCAATGGAAGGAATGTTGACACTTCAGGCAACTTTGTCAATATACTGCAGGTACCCTATAATACATTACACTTTGTTTCTGTGAAAGGTATGATGCTCGCATTCAGAATCATTATACTCTCACTTTTCTTGATCTTGCTAAGCAAATTGACACAAGCAATGATCTGCTGACGTGTATTATATTGACGGATACTTTGATAATAAGGATTCCGACGTGTATTTGTGAGGTCCCTGTTTAAGATCTTGGCTGGATCTCTGAGTGTCCTGACTTGAGCTTTTTGTGGTTTCACTCAGTCCTTCTAGACAAATATCAGGGTAATACCTTATGCCATGAATGCTTCCGTTCTTTTCCTTTCCAATTACTTATTCATCGATCATCCTCCCATATGACACTGTATAGTCAGAGCTGTTGATAACACTGCTAAATAAGCCATAAGTAGTCTAATTAATCATCCATTACAGCACTTATATTTTTTCTGAACAGGGAGTGCATTTTCCCTTTAGGGCAGTACTTATATTCTTTCTGAACAGGGAGTGCATTTTCCCTTTAGGGCAGTACTAATCCTTTTCTTGTTATCTGAGGATTTCTGTGGTGGGGAAAAGGCATAGAGATGCTGTATTTACAGTCTGAACAAGTGTATCAACATCACATACCAACAAACCAGAAATTCATGAAGGAACCACATGCATTTATCCATCAGACCTGTCTTATATACTTAGTTATTGGAGAGGGTGGGTTTCCCCATGCACTGAGACCTGTATTGGTCCATTGTGCTTCCCTCTATGATTTCTACCAGTCTCTATATCCTACCAGTACTGGTGCTTACCATCAGTCCCGTCCAGCCAGCGAGACCGGCTCTACTAGCTGAGAGGTATCTATAATTATAGCATCTCTATGCCTTTTCCCCACCACAGAAATCCTCAGATAACAAGAAAAGGATTAGTACTGCCCTAAAGGGAAAATGCACTCCCTGTTCAGAAAGAATATAAGTACTGCCCTAAAGGGAAAATGCACTCCCTGTTCAGAAAAAATATAAGTGCTGTAATGGATGATTAATTAGACTACTTATGGCTTATTTAGCAGTGTTATCAACAGCTCTGACTATACAGTGTCATATGGGAGGATGATCGATGAATAAGTAATTGGAAAGGAAAAGAACGGAAGCATTCATGGCATAAGGTATTACCCTGATATTTGTCTAGAAGGACTGAGTGAAACCACAAAAAGCTCAAGTCAGGACACTCAGAGATCCAGCCAAGATCTTAAACAGGGACCTCACAAATACACGTCGGAATCCTTATTATCAAAGTATCCGTCAATATAATACACGTCAGAAGATCATTATAATGCTTCCCCCATGTACCAGAGGTATTAGAGACTGCTGTTGGGCGGGAAATGTCCGTTAATTTGGCTCAGTGACCTCCTTTGGAGATATGAGGTTCTTTTACGTGCCGTAAAGCTACCACACGGGACCAACGGCTTAAAGTCCCTCCCGGAGAACTTGTTCCCTGAATTTTTCCGCCCTTAAAAATTCGATGACCTCCACCGGGTATTTGAACCCGCGTACTACGAGTCATGAGGTGGGAACATTACCTCTAGACTACGGAGGCCGCTAGTTTTATATACTTAACACAACAAATGTTATATTAACTGATACTGCAAGCATTATGTTTTTGGACATTATCCTTTGTCTTGTCTTTCTATAAAAACAGTAGGTTTTACCTCAAGACAGAGACAGAATCCAGTCTCTAAAATGTTGTGTTGTGAAAAATAAACAGGACTGCTTTTAGGCAAAGACAAGACGATGGATAATGTCCAAGAACATAATATTTGTACTAATGTACCATTGTCACAAACTTTTAGATCTGAATAACTGATACTCATTGAAATTATTCTTGTAATATTACTTTAAACATATAATAATGCTTTTCTGTATGTTCCAGTATATTTTGAAGCTGATGTTATTGAACATCACTCCTCAGAATGTGTCTCCTTTCCTGACAGTAATGCAACAGATGATTATGTTAAACAGGAAATGGTGAGCTACTAAACAGTTCTTTTGCCTGATGGAATTGTTATTTATGGTCATATCTGTTCAATATAAAGAAAAATCGGGACTGGAGTGTAATTTCTTCTGTGATGTGTTGCTGTGAAATGCTGTAGTTCATGGACACTTCAAAGAAACATGCCTCCATATTAACTTTTGAAGAGTAAGACTGGCTAGTTAATCAGCAAGAAATGGGTGGTGGGACTACTTACAGGACACTGTCACCTTAAAGGACACCTCTTCAAACTGGGACTAAGTAATAGTCCCACTTGTGAGAGGTGTCAAGAAGAAAATGAAACAGCCACACATATCCTGTGCGAATGTGAGGCCTTAGCTTATTTAAGATTACATCACTTGGGTCAATACTTCATGGAACCAAGTGACTATTTTGACGCTCCAACATACAAAATCCTGTGCTTCATTCGAAGCGCAGGATTGCTGAAGGAATAATCAAAAGGGGAAGCACAATAGATCACTGTAGGTCACGGTGTAACGGTGTAAGGGCCAAGAAGGCCCAGCCCTTATACATTCATTCATAATCAGCAGAAATTAGGCAGCAAACAGCAAGTCACATACCAAAAACCAGGTTCAGATATAGGCAAATAGAGGAAGTTGGAGGGAACCAGTAGGTCGAAAGGAAAGAATGACTAGTGTTCGCCCTGAAGAGGGTCATTTTATAAGTACATGTTTGTGAGATGGTATGAGAAGAACACAGATGGGCTATATGCGAGTAGTTAAAGATGTAAATGGAGGAGCAGTGGAAGGAGAACTGACGAATAGATGAATCTGCTGTGATAATAGTAGCGCGGAGAACTCAGGCAGATGGTTACTCTAAAAGAGCAGTGTGCATGGACCTAAGAGCCTGATGGAGAATTCCATCAAGAGAAAGATTTGAAGGAGGCTTCATACTTTCTTTGAGGGAATAAGAGAGGTTTCCATGACTTTTTTAGACAGCAGCTATCCTCCATGTTCATATAGTTGCAATGGAGCTCAGTCACCCCCTGATTATACACGTACAATGTTCATCTGTATTTGGTGGAGAGGATATTGAGGTTTTCAGACTGGGGAGTGGATGTGATGCTATGAGTTGATGATGTGCCCTGCCACACTTGACTTGTTGATCACTCTTGCAAGATTGTACTCTTCATAGTGACCACTGTGAGAACCTCAAATCAGTTATACTAGTTGTACTTAGTGCATATAGGTTTTGATGAAATTAATGTATGTCACAGGTTTCTATAATGAAGGCAATACATAATAAATAAATGAATTTTATTTTGGATTTGAGATTCCCATTGCTGTGTCTGTGAAGAGTGTGGGCTTCTGGATTGTAATGCCATATCCATAGTTTGGAGGGAGCATGCTGCCTGCTTCTGCTGGTTTACAATTTGACCCTGAAGATGGATGTGATGTGTACCTCCAGACCCTCAGACTCCCTCTGAATTAGCAGCATTAAAAGCCAGAAGGCTGTATTCTTGAGATTAATTTTAGTTGTTTCAAGAAGTTCAGCGGGTAACATGAATGAATGAATGTATGAGGGGTAGGCCTCCTTGGCCCTTGCACTGCGACCTACAGTGGTCTATTGTGCTTAACAGCTGGTAACATACTATTGATTGTTAAGAATGGTTTGTAAAATGGAAGTACTAATAACAAGACTGGCGCTTGTGACAATGAAATTTGGAGTATGTGGTTCTTGGGGAGAGTAGCCTGAAGATGATGCTGTTACATCAAATGGTAATTTTCTTTTATTTATTACGAGTTTTAGTGAACACACTGCTTCAGTATAGAGGTCAAAAAACAATATTTGGAAGTTAATACTTCAGTCTCTATTTTTATGCAACTCATTCTGATTACTGTAAAAGTAATGACAGTGTGGCCGGTCACGGTAGCCTTCACTCGCTCGAAAGCCGGAATCATGGATTCGAATCCCACACGGGGCATGGATGTTTAGTGTTTGTGTGTGTGTGTGTGTGCACGCGCGCGTGCGTGCGTTTTTCTGTGTTTGTGTTGGGTAGAGGCCTTGCAACGAACTGATCACCCACCCAAGGAGTCCTACCAAATGTCTCAAGATCTAGTAAACCAAAGTGGAATGGAGATTTTCATGGAGGTAGGCCAAGGCACAAATTGGGGCTGTAGCGCCAAAGGGAAAGAAATTACTCTTTGTGAACAGTATCATAAAGCTCCCCTGGCACTGAATCTGTAAAATTCATATGAAGTAGCATATTTTGACATTTTGAAAATAATACTTTTATATTTCTTTTTCAGACATGTCCAGTGTGTTTCAAGACAGTGAGTTCTGCAATTATAGACACACATGCCAACATGTGTGCATCAGAAATGTTTGGAGATTGAAAATTATTGTAAGAATATGATATATAAGAGACAAATGAAGATCAGATTTGTTTTTAATATTTAAGTGAATTCATAGACATTGAAGTGCTGTTATAACAAATGTCATTGCATCTGAAGGATCGGTTGTATGTAATATTTATATTTTCTTGTTATGTATAATCAACTTTCATTAACATCTCTATTTTTGCCTGTCTTTACTTTGTGTACCAGTTGCAGTTCCCATTGCTTTTCCCATAGCCTTCCATTTTGCATTTTTGTCCATTGTATAAAATACTCTGCTCCTGTGGGAAAGATTTTGATACTGCTACTAGTGGAGAGTGTCCCGTGGTGAAAGGAGGAGCCACCATCCAATATAGGTGCTTGCAGAAGATGTATGAGGATGAATGGAAGAAGTTCCATGATAAAAAAAGAAACCAATGTGTAAAAAACTGTTAATTCTGTAGTACTGTGTGCAGTAAGTCCTTGTATTGAATAAATCCCTTATTCAGTAATCTGATAATTTGGAAATTTTGTTGGGGTTCTCAATCAAGGGCAGTAGCCTCCTGGTGCCTCAGTAGTATACCTATTCTGTCAATATCGTTTATTATCTAGTTCAGCGATGGCCAACTGGCAGCCCGTGGGCCGTATCCGGCCCGCGACTTGATTTACTCCGGCCCCCTGCCAAGTCTCAGGTTTATTTTCAAAAATCTTAACTTCACAGCTGTGTTGGCATAGAATTCAGTTTTTAATAGGACGTTTCATTAGCTTACAGTATTTTGCAATTGACTGTATATGTTCTTACCGAGTTGAACAGTTCAAACTGTTTTCTAATAACTGTGTTCATGTCGTGGAAATTCCAAGTCCCCCAACCCTACTTCTGTAGGGAGATGACACTGAAGGGAAGACCGTAGTGGTGAAGGATTTATGACATCTTCAAAATACACATAGTAAGCATTCCCAGCTTGCTCGCGGGGATGGGATGTTTACCGTTTCTCTCGGCATCCTGGCCTTTGTTAAGTGCCAGTTTTAGCAGAAATGTCTCCCAGTTAGTGCGATTTTAGAAAGTGAAGTGTGATTATGGAGTGTGAGTGTAGAACTGTTTTTCAATTAAAATTGTGTTTTAAGTTATTGTAAGTGATACAGCATGTCAGATAGTAAATTGAGAAAAGTTGATAGTGAAAATAGGGCGTTCAAATCTGAGTGGGAACATGACTATTTTTTTATATTAAATAAAGACCACAAGCCACAGTGTTTAGTATGTTTTCAAGTGCTAGCAGTTTTAAAGGAGTACAACCTAAAGAGGCATTACATGACAAATCATAAACAGAAGTTCGGAAAACACTCTTGTGAATCAAGGAAAGTAGTCTGCGATCAGTTAAAGAAAAAACTTTTCCAGCAGAAATCTCTTTTTACCAATGAAACAAAACAACAAGAAGAAGCTTTGCTGGCTTCTTATTTCGTGACATATGAATTAATGAAAGCTAAAAAAGCGTTAAGTGATGGTGAATTAATTAAGAACTGTGCGATAAAGATGGCAGAAGCTTTCAATGAAAATAAGGTAGGAAACAAATTTCAAACAGTGCCCCTTTCAAAACAGACTGTTACTAGGAGGCTGGAAGATATTAGCAACCAGATATCTAATAATGTGAAAGACATTATCGCTAATTGTTCCTATTTCTCAATTGCTCTCGACGAAAGCACAGATGTTTCGGATACTAATCAGTTGCTGATATTTGTTCGTGCAATTAAGGAAGATTTTACAATTTTCGAAGAGTTGTTAAAAGTGTGCTCTTTACACAGCACAACTAGAGGTGTCGATATTTTTAACGCTGTTAAGAGTGCAGTGGAGGAATTCGGTGGTTTTGAAAAATTGTCCTCCATAGTAACAGATGGCGCTAAATCAATGACAGGGACAATAAGCGGTTTTGTTGGATTTTTAAGACAGAATCAAATTACTGTACCTACCTTGCATTGTATTATACATCAGGAGGCTCTATGTGCCAAATCAATTAAACTGTCTACCACCATGGCTCCTGTCACAAAAATTACTAATTTGATCAGAGGAGGAAATTGATCACTCACGCACAGAAAATTTCTGGCCCTCTTAGAAGAAATGGATTCTGCTTACGGGGACCTGCTTCTGCACACTGAAGTAAGATGGTTAAGCCGTGGGAAATGTCTGGTACGGTTCTTTGAACTCCGTCATGAAATAGCAACATTCCTAAGAGAAGAGGTTACGAATTCTGCTGAACTGCAGAATGATCTCGAAGACGTCGAATTCTTGAGAAACTTGGCCTTTCTCACTGATATCACTCAACACTTGAATGTCCTGAATCTGCAATTGCAAGGCAAGAAGCAGACAATATGTCAGATGGTTGGCTTTGTTGACAGTTTCCGTAAAAAGCTACATTTATTTAAGTCTGCATTGGACAAAAATAACCTTCTACATTTCCCTTGCTGTCGGAAACTCTCAGAAGAAGAAGAAGAAGAAGGCTTGGAGTTTAGGGACTACACTGAAATTATTGAAGATTTGTCATCAGAGTTCGACCGACGATTTGACAATTTTGAAAGCTTTCGACCTGATATTTCTTTATTCAGTAATCCTATACATTGTGATATAGAATCTCAGCCAGGTCATCTGCAGTTAGAGCTTTGTGAACTTCAATGTGACCCATCCTTAAACACATCTCAGGTTACTGGAATTGGCTTTTGGAAACTGCTTTCACCAGAACGTTACCCAGTGTTACGAAATTGGGCTCTCAACCTTTGCTCTGTTTTTTCAAGTACTTACCATATGCAAAACAGTGTTTTCATCACTGAAGCATGTAAAGTCTAAGAACAGGAAAAGACTTTCAGATGTCATGTGATCACATATTCTTCGCTCACAATTAGAAGTGGATTTTATATCATTGGTTTCCAGTGTTATGAAACCACAGTGCTCTCATTAAAACAGTGTGTATATTAGGATTTAGGTGTAATCATTAGACCATAAAAACTATGATTGAAAGCCTTTTGTGCTCATCCCTGCTGAAAGAGGAATTTGTGCTGTTTTATGGTAAGTAATTGCAAATTTCAAGGCATTTTATTTTTCTTTCTTAAATTATAATTGCATTTTTCCCCGGCATATGTAGAACTAAACATAAGGCATGATCTGGCCAGTGTTTCTTTAAGAAAAAATGCTCTGGGGGTAGAAGTGATAGAAGGCAATAAAATTGATTGGTGAAATTTTCAATATAGGCTTAATATTATTGGTGCAACGTAAAATTTAAATACATAGGTTTAAATGCACTTGTTTTTACACGGGTTGTGACTGATTCAATTTGGGGGGCAATACTCCCCGACCACTCTTCTGAAAGAAACACTGTATTGGGCCCCTGATGATGTTCTATAAACTAAATTTGGCCCTCGAGATGTATTAGGTTGGCCAACGCTGATCTAGTTGGTTCCCTTTGTTCTTGATCTTTACATAGACTGTATTTTCATAACCATCTACCCTTGACATCTTGACATTGTCATTTTCTGTTTAAGGAAGTCTGCTGAAATGCACTGATCTTTATTTAGCAGTGTTTCTTCTGAAGATCTTATACTAATCTTTTCTCTTCATACCTTTCCTCTTAGTCTCTTTCTGTTTGTTATACCAGTCCTGCTTTTCAAGAATCTTGTCTCAACAAATTGCATACTGCTTAGTTCCTCCTTTTCCAAGTCTGTGTTTAATATTCATATAATCGTATTAGTGTGAATGAAGTTTTGTAAGAAATGGGATTGCTTTTGCTAGTTTCTTCAAGGTCTACTCTTGGTGATGGGGTAAGTTATAGGGACACAGTGCAAGGGAAATTGATTTCCATGCAGGATGTGAGGTTCTCACAGCAGTGAAGAATTCTGTTAACTAGGATATAATGCCATCCAATCTGTTGAAAGTTTGCCAAGATTTTGGAGGAACATGTCGCATCCATCTTCATAGTTGAAGAGGTAGACTAAACAAAAAGCCCACATGTAGATGAAGGTGATGTTCGTTTGAAATGTAATTTGTATTTTAACAAATGGTTTTATATCCCAGAAGATATAACTCTTTGATCCTATTCTATTTTATATCGATATCCCTTAATTCTTGATATGTTATTCCAAATTTTGCCAATTAATTTGTATTCTCTCGCAATCCACATGCAACCAACTTTATAGTATATTCCTTAATATTACTGCATGAATTGCCTGTGCACCTTTTAGGCACACATTTGCAATGCTTGGAGTGCCCGTTAAGAGATGAGGCAGTCAGCCTAAGTAAGCATGAAACTGGAAAACTGTTGAATGGGTTTCAGCAAAATTTGTTACTGGAGAATTTTACAAGAAATATGTATCCGGCATGAAATGTTTCATATTTCCTGCAAATGTTAAAGAATATTCGCCCTGAAACTACTTAGAAACGTGTGTATGTATTCATGTAAAACATTTGCTAATCGATTTTAATTAAAATTAGGATGCGTCCTTCAATGTTAGTAGAACTTCTCAATGTCAGTTTTCAGTAAGATTCATTAAGAGGTTTTCTACTTGTTACATGCGGAGTGACGGACAAACTAGTGATTCCAAGTCGCCTCATTTACTGCAGTTTTGCAATTTTTTTTTGTATAGGACGCAAATCAAACAGTGTTTTAGCTATGCGATCCGTAGAATGTGTAATTAAAACGTAAACGACAAAACTTTGTGTTAAAGTGTTGGCATAACACAGTTATCAAAATAATCATGTTGAAGTTGTTGAACCTGATTCATACACCGTGTGCGCATGTCGTCCCGTTCCGTCCTGATCAGGGGT